ATAGTTGTTGAGATATTTTAATTTAAAAATTAAAAAAAAATTACTAAAAATGATTTGTCTCTTTTCTATTGACTCACTCCCATTTATCAAAGTCATCTTCTAGAAACAAACTTATAGTATCAGTACTTGATCTATTACTATGCTTTTCATCTGTTTTACTAGATATGCTATTATTATCATTTTCAGAACCATTATTATCTGAATATTTATTTTTAGAATCATCGTTTTCAGAACTATTGTTATTCAATATTTATTTTCAGAATTATTGTCTTCAGAACCATTGCTATTCAAATATTTATTTTCAAAATCATCACTTTCTGAACTATCAGATTTTTGGAATTCTGGAAGCAGTTCTTCTACATGTTTATGCTTTGAAGAAGATAATTGTGTAGTGACTCTAGTAGGTGTACTCATATCAGGTAGGCTGATATATTCTTGGGTCAACATAGCTCTCTTTACATTTTGGACAATCACATTGTACTTTTTTTGCTTTATATCCAGATATTATTATTTACTATTATATCAGTTTAGTGTTTACTATTATATCAGTGTTTTACTATTATATTAGCTAGTGTTTATTTTGTTTTACTGAATTCTTTGATATAAAAATGTATTGTGCAGATGTCAGTTTAAATACTTTTTGAAATAAATATGTAAATATATAAAAACAAATTAAGGTTATACAGGTTATACAGTAGATTCAATCAATGATTGAAATTTAAATTAAGGTTATTGATCAATAATTGAACTTTAAATTAAGGATATATAGTAGATTTTGATTACTAAAAAATCAATAATTTGTCTAGTAATATAAATAAGATATAAATAATGATGCAGCCAGTTTCTTTTTTCCAAAATACATTAATTCTTTTCTTTTCAGAACGTGTTAATATTATCTTTTTTTTCTTTTTTTCTAAACAAAGAAACATATAATTCAAATATATACAAATATTACAAAATGATATACTAAATATAGTAATATTATAAACACAAAAAGACTATCGAAGATACACACAGAATTCTTTGAAAATTTTGACTTTACTTATCATTGAATATCTTCTTAAGTGAAATCTCTGAAGAAAAGTTAAAGATAAATACAAAAATTTTAACAAAGTAATACGTTTTGTATATGGATTGGAGCTAAATTCTTCACACACTTGTGACTTATAGCATATAAACATCTTTAACAAAACAAAATTTTTTGAAAATTTAAAGATAAACATGCCAAAGCCATAATGAAAAAAATTATTCTCAACTATGTGAGTTAATATTTAACAAAATATACTTGTAGTCAAAGCGAAACGTAATAAAGACAATAACAAGAAAAGAAATGAGGGCAATATTCTACAAAAAAATATATTGGTATGCTGAATATTTAATAAACATATTTTTTTGAATAAAAAAACAATTTTTCTATATATTTTTTAATATACTTGTTTATTTTTTTTTTTTTATTTAACTAAAATATTATAGTAATATACAATATATATTATATCGTCTAAGCTGATATCGATTGTTTTTTTTGGCCATTCAGAAATATCATTCTTAAATTGGTTTATATATAGCACATTATCTTGAAACAATTAGCTACATGAATAGGTATTATCAAAGATTTTGTATTATTTTATTTATTTATATAAGATCAAGAAAACAATATCCGATTACATGCATATCATTCAAGCAAATAAAGGTAAATTATTTTAATATAATCAATTATTTAATTAATGATGTTAAGTAATATGATATTAATATAAATTGTATATTGTATTGGCTACATGAATAGGTATTATCAAAGATTTTGTATTATTTTATTTATTTTTATAAGATCAAAGAACAATGCCTGATTGCATGCATATCATTCAAGCAAATAAAGGTAAATTATTTTAATGTAATCAATTATTTAATTAATAATATTAAGCGATATGATATTAATATAAATTGTATATTGTATCGGCTATATAAATAGGTATTATCAAAGATTCGGCATTGTTTTCTTTATTTATATAAGATCAAAGAACAATGTCCCGATTGTATGTATATCATTCAAGTAAATAAAGGTAAATTATTTTAATATAATTAATTATTTAATTAATGATATTAAACAATATGATATTAATATAAATTGTATATTGTTTGATTATTTCTTATTGTTTAACAATGAAAAATTACTGAAACCACATAATAATAAGTCTGATCACTAAATCACAAAATGATAAGTTTGAATACCTAATCTGAAAATTGAAAAGTTCATTTATATATCTTCCTAATAAAGTAATTTTTTTAATTAATAACATTAGAAAATATTTTGACCCGATTTACTAACTCTTTCCAATGATCACTTGTACCAAAATTTTGCTAAAACAAAACTTAAATTTTCTTAAAAC